ATATATTAGTTATGTACCGTTCAAGTAAGAAAAACTAATTTTTACTGTTTACTTTTTGAACTACTGAACAGTTTAAAGATACAGTTAAAAAAGTTTTTATAAATAAAGAATTTGTATTTAAAGACATTGTGTTTGCTTTTTGTTGTCGTCCACTATGTTGCATCGCTGTTACTGCAAACACAAAACACCAAAACTGACCTTCAACAGTTTTTAAAGCTCCCACGGTGTTTCTGTCCATTTTGAAAGTAAGGAAGGAAGTGTCAGAAGATAAGAAATGTGTTTATTTTCCTACAGTCTATAGATGTATAGGTGACCCTCCACAGTTTACACTGGAGACACTGTTATGTCAATGACTGCTGAAACAAATATTGAAATTTATGAATTTGTCTTGTTTTGTCTGTCGTGATCAAGAACAAAACAGAAGGTTGTTTCTTTATAAAGTCCCATTACGTCAGGTGAAATATGGAAGAAAAACAGTAAATTGTTAAGTTGTATTTTATTATCTTGATTTTTTATGTATATTTGTGTTGGTGGCTCTGTGGATTCATCTACATGTTGCTCTCCAGTCTTGCTGTCTGAGCAGCCAGGACCGAGGGAGCGAACGGGGGTGAACCCCTGTTGGGAAACAATACGAGCCAGCATGACTGGAGCTTCCATCCACATAAAGCAATGAGCACAGAGACGCGCCTGACTTTATGAKCTGATGGTTGGAGCTTGTTAGGTGAGGTGACACTGAGAGGCACAATGAGGCGTGATCGTGAGTGGACTGTGTGAGTCTGTGATGTATGGTCAGAGGAAAGGAGCACAGCTGGGCTCTGCAGCATCATCAGCTCCCACTTTCAAATCAGGTGAATGAAAACAAAAAAATAAATAAATAAAAAAAAGTCTTGTGGTCCTCACCGCGTCAATGCCAGACAGCTGCATGCCGACGTTGAGCACCACGATGGTGAGGACCTGCCAGCGGACACAGCGGTCTGTGAGCAGACTGCACACAGACAGGGTCTGGACGGAGGACAGCGAGCGCTGCTCCTCCTGCATCTCCTCCACCTCAGCTTGGATGTTCCCTTTTTTGCAGAACCTCTTCAAGGCTGGAGAACAGAAAGGAAACACCCGTCCTGACGTCAACAACAACTGAAACCCCTGCAGGAGTCAAACAGTCCACTGAGGTCAGGACATGAAATAAAAACTCATTCTCTAACCTGTGATGGTTGCATACATATTGCCTTTCTCTATTAGCAGGTATCTGGGACTCTCTGGAAACCATGGCAGCAGCATCAACTGGACCAGTGTGGGAAACATCACAAAAGAGAGGAGCAGAGGCCAGTGTTCTTCCTTTGGATAAATATAAACACAAAGGATGTASTAAAACACTCAACAAACTGCAGAAAGCTTTATAAATGTGATCAACTTGTATTAAATCTTACTCAGATTGTGCAAAAAGAAATTATTTTTAAAGACATGGCAGAAAAATATGTTTTTGTCTTCTTTTCCTGTGCTCCATAACTGAACATAATGAAACAGATCAGAATAATCCATCAGGTTGCAGAGGCAGCAGTGCCCAGGATTGAAACCCAGACTCAAACTGATGTCAAGACAACCTGTCCGTTAATGTCAACAAAAACAAATATCTGCACCCTTGTCTGCAGGGAAATTTTCAGAACTTTTAATTTTTCAATTTGCACATGACTGAAGATATTTCCTGGACACTGGGCAAGAAACATCACGATTAAGAACAGCAAAAATAATCATTAATGTTTTTAGTTTGAGCTGTCAGMGAAACATTTCAGCTGAATTATTCAACCAATGCACACCTTTCACCAGCACAAAGTGAATACCTTTCCCAGCAGTTGCGAGAGCCCCAGGACCTGAGCGATAAAGACTCCAAGACAGATGTGGATACTGGGAACGAGACCCAGAAAGCCTCGCAGGTTCTTGGGAGCGATCTCGCCGAGGTACATTGGTACCACACTGAGGGAAATCCCTGAAGAGAGAGAAGTTAGTCTGACGTTTAAAACAGTGCAAATGATCTGAAAACCTGACGTTCCCCATTTAAAAACTGATATAATTCAGTAGTAAAATAAAAAAACCCTGCCTGAGTGTACTCCGGTGATGAAGCGTCCTGCGATGACCATCATAGGATTTCTGCACCATCGGCTGAACCCCATCAAGGATCCTCCAACAAAAACCAGGATGGTGGATCTAACGAGCGTCCCTTTTCTGTTTGACGCAAACAGTCTTCATTTGTCTTTTCTCAGTGATTGAGGTGATTACCAACAATTAATCCTCAAACACCAACCTTCCATATTTGGTGGTGAGTCTGCCCACCATTAAGGCACCAATCATTCCACCGATGGCAAAGATGGACACGGTGAGGGAGTACAGGATGGTCAGAAAATGTTCATCTGGAGTCCAGTTGTAGCGATGAACCAGTGTGTCATTGTAGAAAGCTTTGATGAACTGGTGGACGAGACTGTTTGTTATTTGAAGATCGTCCACAGCACACAAGTCAAACTCATTCAAAATCAATGCTTTGATTAAAAAAATCTAAAGATTGAGATCAATGGTTTTCAATTTTTACATCTCCTCAAGGATTTGCAGGCAAGCAGATGTGACAGAGGACCATCTATTTACAATACAAACAAAGCAAAGAGTGTATAACATAAAATTTATTATATAAACATTTGCGACTGAAAGAATTGGAATAAGTTCATCTCTCCATCTCCAACTGTGTGTCAGGTAGGGGCGGAACCAGGGGGTGGCCATGGCCACCACAGACAAATCTTTGGCCACCCCATTGGCCACCCTGCTGTACACACCCCTTCCACAGTGAAACAACATTTAGGGATAATCCTCCTGAACAGTTGGTGGCAGTGTTTAACAGTTTGAAACATTACCAAGCTCTATCACTGAAGAAGAGTAATGACAAGGAAGTGATGATTTCTTTATATACTGAAAATATGCCTTTACAATCTGACTTCTGTTGTCAACTTTTGGACTTATGGTGACAAATGTTTTTTAGTTTTATTTTTTTTATTTTTGCATTTTGTCACAATAACACAGTTTCATTTTATAGTATGAAGGCTGCATGATGCTCAGTGTTTGGTTATGAGTAGGCCTGTCACTAAATCAGAAAAAGTGAAACACCCCTCTAAATTCACTAAATTCATTGGGTAAAATTTATAATTTTCGTTTTAAACATGCAGTTGCGGGTCATCATTATTTGGCACAATGGCATGTGTGAAAATAAAGTGTAATAATGTAATAATGTGTAAAAATAAATCAATAAACAATAAAAAAATAAAAAGCACCCCTRAAGTTATTGGATRTGATAAACTGTKTCACATTAATTAATCTTATCTCAGATATAGCAGTGAGTTTAAAAACAGGATGATGGAACTAGTTTAATGAAAAATCTGTCTSTGAAATAATTAAATCAAACATTAATTTAAGTAGGTAAAAGTATGTTTAACAACATGGTGAACAGCTCCTCATGATGTGAAGGAGCAGCTCTAACTTTAAGCTTCCTCTAATGATGAAGCTGCTCATTCTGTCTCTAAGGCTGAGCTTGGATACACTACAGAAGAAGCCCACTTCAGTCATATTTATCTCGAATCTCACTTTTTATGATGTAAAACTCGTGACTTTAGGCTGAAATACAGAAGAACCAGTAAATCTAGAGTGTCGCCTTTCTGTTGAGCTTTTTCTTTTCACTAGATCTAAATTGTAAAAATCTTTATTTCTACCTACATTTTATGTTAGTGGGATTACCTTTATTTACAAAAAAAAATAGCCTATGCTAGACAGCTATGTGCGCTGTCCTTCAGTGAAGAAAGGCAATAAAAACATCACGTCACGTCTTGAGGGATTTTAAAGTCATGGCTACCTCCATGTTCCACATAAAGCAGGTTAAACTGTTCATGCAGCCATATCAGGAAGTCAAAACAGGAATGTGTTTCAGCTTATTAACACGGCAAGTTTAACAGCGAAGGAGGCGAACAGAACACATGATGGATTAAAAACTGAAGAACATCAATGACACGGTGAAGCTGATGCTCAGACACATGACTCCAGGACGGGGTGGTGTTTTCAGCTTAACTGGTAGCAGGTTTTCAGTAAACTCTGAGAAGCCCAAACCTCTGCAGGCGAGTTGACCACTGCCAGGTTGTAGCCGTAGAGCATGGAGCTGCCGAACGAAGCCAGGAACGCCACCGCCAGCAGTGACCCCGTGAGATGCTGAGGAGAGGAAAACAAAGAAACACAAGAGGACTGCGCATCAATCACTGCAAAAACTGTCCACCTAACCAAGTTTTAAAATCTTATATCCAGCCAAAAAGTCTTTTTGATCTTGTTTTGAGACCGATTTACTAAACAAGAACTGATTGTGTAAGAATAATAATCTTCTTTTCAGAATGTGTAAGATTATTTGTTTTGTTGGCCTGAAAATTTGACTCAAATTAAGTCAAAAATTTCTGCCAATGGAGTAAGAAAATTATACTTGGTAAGATTCTTGAAATACTTGATTTGACTCAATTTTTTCTTATCTCAAGATTCTTACTAAGTAAATTTTTCTTACTCCATTGGCAAAATTTTTTGACTTCATTTGAGTCAAATTTTCAGACTAACAAGACAAATAATCTTACACATTCTGAAAACAAGATKATTATTCTTACACAATCWGTTCTTSTTTAGTAAATCTGTCTCAAAACAAGATCAAACAGACTTTTTGGCTGATATAAGATTTTTAAAACTTGGTTAGGTGGACATTTGCTAATGAAACAGTCCAAAAGGCAAAAACTGTAGTGTCAAACTTTTGTTTTACAGCTTGTGAAGCTTCATCCAGGAGAAATATGCTGCATTAATCAACACGTTTGGCCACCCAGAGACCCGACAGTCACATGAAACATTCCCTGACATCASAGAGGCAGAGGCAGCCTAATATGTGCTCATTAAAGCTCTGATGTCCCCCGTTCTTCACCTTTATCCTGAACTCCACGAGCACCAAGCTCAGCTGACCTGAGAAGTAGAAATCTATAGGATTAAAACATCTTTAGATAACCCTGCTTTCAGATGAAGCTGTGAGGAAAGTGACTGTGGTGCATCTAAACGTGACCCCATAAAGAGGACTGACTGAACAATAACTGCATAGTTTCACAAATAAATCTAATTTAGTTAACTTCATGGAGGGAGTAAGACAACGCCGAGGACTCAGTTTAAGCTGATTATCAGTCAGATGTGCACATTTCACATGTTTAACCAAATCTTTGGGTAAATCCACATTTAAAACATAAGCCTTGTGCAGACTTTTGGCAATTTTTTTGGGATCTTATAAAAGAAAACTAAGACAAGAAGTTAGACAAGTGCAATAATTTTCCATGTCTGGAATGCAGGTGACATCTGATATAAACAGCTTAATGCTGTCTATTTAAAAAAAATCATCATTACATTTTTTAATTAATTTTGTTTAACTCAAACCATGAGTTCAAACTTACCCCCCTGAGTTTTGCAGCATTTTCTGTTAATAATTCTTCAGCCATTTATGTCATGAATCCTTAATCTCCTCGTGTAATCAGCTCGTTTGAGATGAAAAACTCAGAACTTCTGAGAACCCTTCCCTCTTATCATTTGCAGATTTTACTAATGCAGATGAGAGGAGGCGCTCGGCGATGACGGGGCGGATTTAACTTGTCAAAGTCCTGATGGTTCAACCCGGGYAGGGCAGGACGGGACAAGCCGTCCCCGCGGTGAATCCACCAGATCCACTTCATTAGTGATCACATGAGCCATGTGGGACATCCTGCACGCTAAAAGAGCCCGGCCTTGTTAACAAACCACCGCTGGCTGAACGTGGGGGAGTTTTTACTGAAATTCTTCAGGCAGTGGGGAGAAAAGTTAAAAATCAGTCAAAATGTCAGATATAAATGTCTTTAAATGAACTCTGGATCTTTATTTGTTAAAGTGAGGACATGTCTGGCATTTTGCATCTTTTATATGTGTTTATGAAACATAAATCAGTATAAGGTGTTATGGATCTTAAGGGTAAAGTTTCAACATTCATTTTCTTACCTGGTAGGGAACAGCTTTACTGAATACATTCCCTCATTTTAACTACAATGTAAAAATATCCAAATATGCTAAAGACAGAAGTTAAGAGTAGTTCAAATGGGGCTTTGTAGAGAGGTTATGAACCGTTAGTATCTTACCTGTTGTAGATAACTTTTTGAATGAACTTGTTTTGGAGAAACAGTTTAATTTTAATAAACTATTGAACAAAACCAAAGTGCAAACGTTATGATATTTAAAAAGCTCGTTTATCCATCCGTAGTTTAAATGATACATCAGTTTTAGCARACATAAAAATATCTTTAATTGACAAAAATGTAACGATAGCTTTAAACTCTGAGCACAGATTTATTTAAATCAAGTTTTTTAACACCTGCAGAACAGAAATATGTGAAAACCTATTCACTCTAATGATAAAAAATGTTATTGCATGTCTGTGCTGGACAGGTAGCAGAGAAGAGTTAGTTTTAGTAGAAACAGCTCTTAATTGCAAAGAATGAAATCATGAAAGGAGGCTAAAGTAACTCTAGAGAGACTGGGTGAAGGAAGGAGTGTTAATTAACTCTGGGATCATCAATACAAACAGCTTCTTTCACATGAAGACAATAAATCAACCTATGGTTTATTTAGAAATATTGATTAAAGCAGCTTTAAGTATTCACTGATATAACTTATAGCAGCTTCATCTCTGCAGTGTTAACTATTATTCAGTGTTTTTTATGATATAAATAAAACTGTTAGTTTCTTGTCATGAGTTGCTGCTTATAACTGAGAAAATACATAATTTATATCAAGTTTGGTTTCATAAAGACATAAATATGTTTGTCAGATGAAAGTTTCCGGTTTAAAAGAATAAAATAAGAAATTGGGATCAAACTTGTTTTCATCCATCAATCAGTTTATTTAACCCTCTTCTTCCCAGGTCCTAAGCAACTGGTGCCAATCTCCAGAGGTGTGAATTTTTCAGTTTCAAATGATTAAAACCATAACAACAAAATGTAATTTTTTATTTCAAACCTTCCCCCAGCAATCTGGAGTCTTTCCCTTTCCAACACAATAATATTCGTGCAGAGTTTTCAGTCTCTGTGACCATTTTTCTGTGTCTGAGTCTCATGATTACCACAAAAATTAGCTTTGAAGACCCAAGACAGAGTCAGGCAAATAAAAGCTACAAAGACCTTATTTACATAATTTACAAGAGGGACATCTCAAGATCATAATCAGGATCTGGAACTACATGATTTAATTTCCTCTCAGCGGTGAATGAGATGTCGTTTGATAAATTACCCATCAATACCAGACAGCAGGAGGATGCTGTGCTGGGAGACGGTGTGTGCGCCTTACGTGTGTGTGTGTCTCCGTTTCGCTGGAATGTGTTCTCTACGCGGACATGTCTTCATATGCTCAGGAGGATTTGTGTGTGTGTGCGTGTGCTGGGTCAGAATCACCTCACATTAGCAGCCCATTATGTCAATAAAGCTCCTCTTGCATCCAGTTGACAGATCATCTGCCCAGAAAAGCAGATATTGCGGCCTTTAATCAGCCAGCCCCCTCCGAGTCTCCGTAGTCTCTTGTGCAGTATTTAAATTCCTCATTTACTCTGTTGCAGGCGGGACGTGTCTGTCCCCTATTGTTCGCTCTGAATAAACTGGGGAGCTGATCGTGTTAAGTGCGGCTGTGATTGATGGCTGCTGATGAAATCTAATATGCTCGCCCCATGTCATCGTTTAGCAGAAATAGGATTAGAGAAAAAGCCTCCAACACGAGCTGGGAAAAAAAGGGTGGAAACGTACCTAATGCTGTTAATACTTTTCTTTATTTTTTTAAGAAAGTTTTTGGCTGAGTCACTTCGAATTGCATTAAAGGGATAGTTTGGTCATTTTTCAAGTGACGTTCAGTGGTGGTTATCGATATCAGATTATTAGAGACATACTTTTTATTTAGTGAGATTTCAAATCTGTTTTCAAAAAAAGTGACATTCTGATGTTGGAGTGAAAGTCTGTATCGTTCTCACTTCTCAATAGGCTGCTGTGATGGACCCCGTCTCCCACCCCAGAGCACTGACAGGCAGTTCAGCCTCTCCCAGCTGCAGTCAGAGCAGAAGATGTTCATCCCTCTGCATTCAGACAGAAAATAAACTGAACAGGTGTGAAACTGCAGCTGTTAACATAAAGTTTACTTTTGTCTTCTCTAAATAACTTATGAACTGAAGCCCAGATAGAAGCAACAATTTGAATATTCAACAAAACAAGAACCAACAGAAGGAAGTTCATATCTTCAGGTTGACCCAGGCCAGCTTCAGGGACTTTCCAGCTTGGTGGGTCCAAGTCAGTCAAGTGGAACTGAAGACTCTGGCTYCGACATGTAARGCTGGATGGACAAGTCCCTTGTTGACATCTTTGAATTCATTTGTAATTAAAAAGTTTMTGTGCCGTTATCAGTTCATAAACCCCTCTATCAAACTGGAATGGACCACTCTGGAAGCTGTYTAAAGAGACAGCATCAAAACGAGCTGATCTGAGACACACCTCAGGAAAGGGGTGAAAGAGGGGCTTGTGGAGTTACAATAAGGAGGAATTCAGACCAAAGCATTGCAGTTCCACTTTACATAGACTCCAAATAGAGRATTTAAATGAGAAAAAGAAGGATTTAAAAGAAGGATATGTCCATTTTACACCCTTATTCAGCTGCAGTGAATGGTGCGATGAGACTGAGCGGAGTGAATGTGTGTCACAAGGCCCAGTCAGTCCATTTAAAAACCATAAAGTGAAGTGACTGTCATCAGCCGAGCATCAGCGCCACGCTAATTATTTCCACAATCGCAGCCATCATCGTCTTCCTTGTGCTCACCGGAAGGTCAGCAGCTGATGGTGGAAAATTCAGTCTTTGCTCAGGTTCTGCTTTTCTCCACTGCAGCAGCCRCAGACACATGACTCCGTGATGAAGCTGCTTCGTCGTGATGATGAACATTTAACAGAGACCAGGCTCTGCAGGAATGCCGCGACTCTGAGTGACCCCGTGTGGAATGAGAGCGCCATCTATTGATGTGTTCAGAGTCTGAAAAAATGAACAGATAAGCCACAGTTCTTAGGAAAAGTTTAAACCTTAACATTTACAACACCAAAGCGAAGGCTGTGCAATAATGTTTTGGCTTTTGTGTTCGTGAGTCAGTTAACAATATGCCTCATTGTTGGACACATTTTTAATAAAACCTAYAGATATCAGCAGTCAGTTTTACAAATATTCAGTTTAAAATTGGTGAAATTATACCCACAACACGTGCTTTAAGTGCTACTCATTGTTTTATTCAAGATTCAAGATGGTCACCACAAGATTTTAGCTAATAATTATTTGTGAATCACTTAATTGCTGCTTAATTACCATTTTTCATGCATTTAACTAACGAAGATGTCTGTTAAAACTTTTTATGTTTGGGAGCCATAAACCAGAGCTTAACAAATAATAAAAACAGCTAAATAACTAAATAATATGAACATATTTCTCATGAAATAGTCATACTGGAAAGTGTCCAGTGAAAAACTTCAAAACTTCATAAAAACCTGGAGAACAGTTGATGTAAAAAACTCTAAAAGATTACAAGAAACTCCAGCTGCTTGAGAGCAAAGTGTAAAGAAATGAGGGATGACTCAAGACTTTTGCACATGTAGTTCTAGCTGAACAATGTGCATCCATCCTGCAGCAGAGAACTGTGACAAACTACACGCAGACACACTCCAGAGTCCATTTAAACAAGTCATAAGTCTTAGTGATGTTAGCAAATTTCTTCTGTTTTTCCTATCTGCTCCATATTTTACTCACTTCACGGCTACATTAGCTCTTTATTTGGGGGTAATAGACCCCCCCCCCTCGCCAGATCTCATTGGCTGCGGCTGGACTGGAGCCCAGCCCACCTGCTCCGCCGTGCTCTCCTTAATGTGACTGGCCGAGGATGATGGATCACCTCCTGTCACTTCCACCTCCTCCTCCAATCAACAACCAGCCATGGAAATTGATTGTTCTAATTTGCTCTCATTATTATTATGATATTAAGCACAATATACAGACACAGCTCACTGTCAGATCTGGGCAACGCCGTCATTAGTTACAGGGGCTGGAGAATACGCCTCAGTGGGGCCTTTTTTTTTTTCTTTCCTTCTCCCACAGATGCCAAAATGTAAAGGAATCAGTGAGTGTTGGAGAAACGCCGGGCTTTCTCTTAATAAGATTTGCCACGCAGCCCCTCGCCGAGGTGATGTAGCATCTAATTAAGTTCAATTCAGTGCATCTGGGAAAGAGGAAGAAAGAAGATTTGATTAAGTTCCTGCGTGTCAGGTGCGGGCGTGTTCGCGTACAGCTGCTGGATGGGAGGAAATGAGAGGCGCCCRTGTGAGAAAACACTCGTCTTYACGCTAACAACGAGTGCAAACTGGAGAAATCTGCAGAAAAGGCCGGGGTAACTGGGGCGCTGAGGGTGTTAAAGCACCCCTCTGTGGCTGATAAGATATATCAATGTTTATGCTCTTATGATGACTTAAAGGGATCCCTGATTAGTTGAAACATTAGATTTTATTTGATAAACATATAAGACAGTAAAAATACTGTAGTTTTTAATCATTTTTAAACTAAAAGTTTAAAAATAAAATAAAAACTAAAAGTTTAAAAATATATTAGACGGATGGGGCCATATTATTTACACACAAAGCATTCTGGGTAAATGATGACGTGGATA